TTCCAGCCTCCAGCAAAGCTGACTCTGTGAGGTTTCAGGAAAATGCCAGGCCTTAGCCTTTTCAGACTGCCACCAGGGGACCCATCCAGCTGGCTGTTGTTGACGTGTCTTTAGGCAAAGTCAGGAAGAAATTCAGTTCACTCACCCTTCTTGAGCCCTTAGAGGAGCTCTCTTTGGAAGTGGCTTCAGGACTGGACTAAGCATATGTCTACAAACGAACAGGACAAAGAAAACCATGGCATGAGCCTTCTTTCCCTTTTTGCTTTGGCTGCCAGGTACATTGCATCCCATACAAAATGATTTGCTCATTGAGGGCAGGGAAGCATGAGTGTGGGCAGTGGGCCACATAAATTCAGACCTCTACCCCCCTGGTCATTGCTGTGCCGCTTCAAGCAAGTGGCTTCATCCCTCTGAGCCTGTTTTCTCCTGGGTAAAAAGAGAAAACTAGGAACACTGCAAGCTTTGCCTTCTCCTGGCTGTATGAACTTGGCAGGTCCTTTCTCTTCTGAGCTTGAGTCTCCTGTCCTGCAAAATGGGACTTGTGCCCACGAGCATACTGTCAGACTGTGACAAGCACTCAAAGGGGGCAGCCTAGTGCTCCCTATGTGGTAGGCATTTTGTTTTTGTTTTGTTTTGAGACAGGGTCTTGCTATGTAGTTCAGGCTGGCCCTGAACTCACTGTGTAATGCAGGTTGGCCTCGAACTCCTGGCAATTCTCCCGCCTCAGCCTCCCAAGTGCTGGGATTATAGGAGTGTGCCACCACACCCTGCTGGCATTTTGTAACCAGCAACTGAAAAATGATGCTTTTGCAAGTAAAAATCCAGTGAGTTTAGGAATGAAAGTTTTATAGGCAGGTTTACAAAAGAGCAGAATCTTCCTGTAGTAATTTTACAGCCAAGCTCCATGGTTTATCTCTGGCTTGACTTCTTTGTTCTTAAGGTGTGGGGCAGAGGCTGGGCCCACGCCTGGGAGTTCCAATCATTCCATTCCGTCTCCGCAGTGGCGTCCCTTCCCCAGCTCACTGTGCTCTTTCCACGTGGTGCACCTTGCTGCTGGTCCAGGATATGATCCTGCAAGGGCCCAGCCCAGAGGAGCAGTGCCAGGGAGTCTGCAGGGCCCTCCCAGTGCCCACTGCTTGTGGGGGCTCCCTGGACAACAGTCAAGGGGCACACATACCTAGCAGCCCCTGCAGCCCAAGTACGAGCGCTGTACCAAAGGAAGGTGGCCTAATCTGTGTAGTACTAGGTGTCGTGCGTGTGTGTGTGTGTGTGTGTGTGTGTGTGTGTGTGTGCGCGTTCCCGCGCGCTAAGCCCAGGAGTAGCTGAGACCGGAGGCTAGTGCCCAGGCCCAAATATGCCCCATCCTCTGCCCTGCTCCCCAGGCCCTATGAACCCTTCAGTATTTACTGAGGCTGGTTTTGAGAGCCTCCCTTTCCTCTCCAACCCCTGCGCCCTGGCACCCAGGCAGACTGGCTTCTCTCACTTTGGGGAACTGAGAACGAGGTAGGATGAGAGACAGGCCTGGCTTCAAATCCAGACTCTTCTTAGTAGTGGAAGCACCTGAGGCAAGGGACTGCACCTCTCTGGGGCTCCGTGTCCTTGGCTGGAAATAAGAGTAGTAGAAGCTGCCTCCTGAGGTGTGATGTGAGTGAGCCACCTGAAGGAGGGACAGACTCAGACGACAGTCATGGCCACAGAGACTCATATGCAGCTGATGTGCAGTGCCCCACTGTCCTTCCCTTTGCTTCTTACTCTCATCCCCCGGGCCTGGGTCCCAGGCCCCCTAACATCTGCAGACAGAGGCTCAAACTGTCCCAACTGGTCCTGCTTGGGAACTAGGTTGGTGGAGAAACCAACAGGGCTCATGTCTCAGATGAGCTTAACACCTATGCAACAGACCGGGGAGGACGTTCTGCATTCCCCCTGGCCCTGAAGATGCTCAGGGTGCGGGAACTTCATCTCACAAGCTGCTCTTGTAGCTTGCAGGGCGTGCAAGGGACTCGGCAGATAGCTGCCCTGAAAGGTAAACTTCTGGAGGTGGGTGACACAGGAAGCCCTCCTTAGGAACCACACAGCTTGTGTCTACACCTCCTGTGACAGGGGTCTTCCTCTCTCCCAAGGCCACCCGCCCCGCCTTTGTGGAGCAGCTTTGTTTTCCTTCCCCATTGTAGTACCCAGAGCCAAAGCAACTTCCAAAATGATCTCATCATCGTGTGCTGGAGCAGCAAGCCCCTCCTTTGCTCTAAAGCTATATTTCTGTTTTGTCTGTTCTCTTTATAGCACCTTGATCATACGAGAGTCCGGGCAGGGCTTTGGCGACTACAAGTCATTCCTTCACAAACTTGTCTCTTTCTCTCCCTCCAGGCTCCCTTCCTCTCTCCCTCCCTGTCTTCTTTCTTTCCTTCCTTCTTTTTTGTCTTCTCCTGGGTCAGAGTGGTGCATCACTGCAATTTAACTAAATGTGTATGGAGCAGCCCTGCATGGGCCCTGGGGGCTCAGGGATGAATGAGTCCATACTCAGAGCTTTCCGTGTGGCAGGGCAGAGGTCCACAAGGTAACAGCCTAGGAACAGTGGCACTGCCTTGAGGGTTTAAGTGAGGGACAAGACAAAGTACAGAGGAACCACAGAGAGGTGAGCACACTGCATGTGCCCAAATATAACGCAATCCAGAAAAAGGCTGAGGGCCACCGTCATCCTCCACACGAGAAAACACACAGTGAAGTCAGATAGCATAAACTTTATAAAAGAGGTGGAGATAAAATAATCAGATATCCATTTGTAATACTGATTATCTTAGACATCCATATTTGCAACTGTTTTCCTATAATATACAAATGGAAAGATTGCTTCTGTCCATTTTCAAACTTCAAGAAACTCTTTGATTCAAATTCTCCTCTGTGTGCCTTTGATACTAATGTCCCCATCATGGGAGGGTGGGAGCCTTTTTTTCTCAGAGCATACGGATCTAGAGTCTAAAACACAGCCCTAGAAATCCACGCAGTAGGCCCTCACCAGACTGGTGTCTCCACCACAGGTGCAGCGCATCCCACCAGGATAGCCGGGGCTTCATGGAAGAAGGCGAGTGGTTCTCACCAGCACAACACAGCTCCTCACTGGGTATTCTGAAGGTGACCTTGAAAAGGCCTGAGTGCAACTAACTGCCTCATAACCTTCAGGTTGCTCTCCATTGCTCTGAATAAAATTCCCCAGCCTCTTTCTGTAATGAGACCAACCTCTGTGTGTGCCCAAACTCACCTGGACTGCAAGTGCCTCACTAAATGGACCTTTCCCAACCAGAACTTTGAGGTTAAAAATGAAGTCATTGAGAGGGCACCTGTAATGCAAGAAATTAGTAACTCAAATACAAGGTACCTCCTGCAGACATGTGACCATTCTGGGTGTGATTTCCCGGAGGTGGATGCCTGAACTGACCTTGAAGGATGAAAGTCCTGTGCCACGAGACGCACACTGTAGCAGAGGGCACCAGGGAAACCAAAGCAGGAGGCCTCTGTCTGCTGGAGGCTCTCTCTGTCTGCACAGCTCCAGGCTGGACCCTCCCCTTCCCAACTGGGAGATCTTGGGCACCCCTCCTCCACTCTCTCTGAGCCTCAATCTCCCTATCTGTGAAGTGGAGGTAATAAGTGGAAGGCCGAAGGGATACAAAAGCATAGAAACTTCAGTGAGAAAGAACTGGTCTGGAATTGTGGCTTCTTGAGCAAGTCCTTGGATCTCTTAGACCTCAGTATTTCAATTTGTAAAATGGAGCTCAAGGAGGGCATGGACGAGCAGGCTTCCCCCCACTCAGTGTGGCAGGGCACCCACACAGGACAGGTGCTTGGAAAAGACCTCAGGGGTGAATGAATGAATGAATGAATGCGAAATGCCTCTTACCCCTCTGCCAGGAGCACTCCCCACCCCTTCCCATGGCTTCTTTCCTTTCCATCAGGTGCAGTGTACATGCTCCGATCCAAGATTCTTCCTTAAAGGCCGGGCATGGTGACTCATGATTGTAATCCTAGTATTCAAGAGGCTGAGGCAGGAGGATCACCATGAATTCAAGCCCCACCTAGGCTACATAGTGAACTCAAGGTCAGCCTGAACGACACAGTGAGACCGTCTCAAAAAAAAATCTTGTTTTTTTCTTCCAGGGTTTGATCACTGTTATGTGATCTTAATTGCATGTCATTTCGGTCTCCACTACTCGCATGCCCTTTCTGTGACAGTGGAGACCTTGTCTGTATCTACACGACTCAGCTCAGGGCCTGGCACATAGCATGTGCTCCGTAAACATTTTAATGAAAGGCTGTGTGAATTAATGAATATGGGTGCCCTCCTCCCAGTCTTGGACACCGCCTAGGTTTCTCTTAGGCATGCAGCCTAGAGAGTAGAAAAGTCCCCACCGCTAGGGCACCCTAGCTGGACTGTCTTCAACCCCTACACTGTCCCTGTGACCTGCTTGTGTGCATGTCCCCGCCCCACCTCACTCTGTCGCCCCGCAAGGAACTCCCCAGGAGCTGGGCCATAGTCCATGCTGGCCCGGTTTCTGGAAGAGGCCTTGACACACAGTAGGCTTCTCGAGGTGTGGGCCTGAGTAAAAGGCCAGCAGGCAGACAAGCCTGGCACACAAGGTACCCAGCTGCCGCGCGCGCCTTCCAGGCCCGGGCGCGGGAGTTGAAGGGCGGGAGGCCGAGCCGAACCTCTCCCGCCGCCGGGTGCAAACTTTCAAAAGATGCGGCGGCCGCTGCGGCCCCGCCCCTGCACGGTTGGCGGTGGTGGAGGCGGGGGCGGAGCCGGCGG